ATACACAGCCCTACTGGTGACCCGCGACCATGGAGATATAAACAGCTTTTTATAAGGTAAACATAAAAAACAAGGTCTTTGTCTGCAATGATTAGACATGTTTTTTATTATTGTCATTAGTGATTATCTCAATTTCGGCTAAAAGAATTGACAAAATCCTACACACTGTGCCTTGAAATGAAAACTAGATCAATTTCATTTCCTGCGAAAATGCTCATTGCTGAAAACTTTAGCTGAAAGCTGCTGAAATGGAGCTGAAACTGTTTAATAGCAAAACCGTTGCTGAAAGAAGCATAAAACTGTTTAACGTAACAGAAAATATAGCTGAAAAAGCAGAACAATTTCTAAAATTGGCTTAAAAACAAGTTAAGGTAGCAGACAACAGTTGAAATTAGCACCCAGATGGTGAAAGGGGTGTAGTAAGTCTATTTAGCAGAAATAATGCTTAAAAGCAAAAAAAGAAAAAAAAAAGCAACAATTTGCTATAAAACAGCTAAAATGTAGCTGGAAATTCATAAATTAGCATAGGGAAGCACAGGATTGCTGAACTAAGCAGAAAGAAGTAGAAATGCCCACCAAATGCGACTTTAACTTTAAAAAGTTAGCTTTAGCTTATAACAGCTGAACATTAGCTAAAACTGCAACAAATAGCTGAATTAAGCAGCAAGCAACTGTAAGAAACAGGAATGGCTCAAATTAGCAGAAAGAAGCAGAATTGTATCTGAAATAGCAGAAAAAGCTAAAATTAGCACAAGAAAGTTCAGTGCGGAAGCTGAACAAAATGTGAAAGGTGCTGTAAAGATTTAAACGTTTTAAAGACGTTGAAAACAGCTCCATTTATTTTCAATGAGACAAATGTGGCCAAAAAAGTGAAACAGCTAAAATAGTAGCTGAAATACCAAAAGTCATAGCTGGAATGTCCTGAAGGAGCTGAACTTTTTGATACATGAATTGTTAAAAATAGCACAAAAATTGCAGAATAAGATACAGTCCGAAAAACGAATGGAAGAAAAGATATTTATTGTGTGAATGATGGTGAACCGCGGGGTCACAAGTTTCTGCAGCTGAGGGTTTGAAAACCACTGCGCTAGGTGGACTCTGGTGTCCCCAGGTGGTCTGGGGACACCAGAGTCGTCCCTAAAGGTCTGGATGAGGTGGAACAAGAGAAAGATGATGGATAATTTGCATCTTAGTGTTCCTTTTGACACTTTGTGGATGTTTTGGATCAGTTTCCTGCTTGTTGCGTCTCTATTTTTATTGATTAGTTTCTATTTTCTGAATCAGAATCAGCTTTATTGTCATTCGCACACAACATCAAAGATGCAGAAGGAAATTGCAGTTAAGAACACTCTGTTCAGGAGAAAGACACACATAACAAACATGGGGGTGAACGGATGAACAGGTCTTGCGCAAACACGGTTGCGCTACCTTTTTGCAGTTTGGAAAAACCACAATAGGAGAGATGACTTAAAAAAAGTTGCTCTGATCCTATATTTACACAGAAACAGAATCAGCACACACACAAAAACACTTGCTAAAGCAAGGCATCTGGGGAGGGAATGGGGCTGGGGATCAAACACATGGTACGGGGGGCGGGATTCAGTGGAGCCGGTGATGTTCCAGGTTAATACCCAGTGCTGGAACCAAGACCAGGACCCACCAGAGTCTAGCCTGGCCCTTGCCTTCCTACACAATTCTGCTCAATTCTAGTTTCCCTTCACTGCTCCGTCTGGCATTTCTCACATAGACAAGGATTGTGCTGGCAGATTTTTAGCCGAACCAATCAGAAAACAGAAGGCGGAGTTTTGAACGTCGACTTTCTGCACAGTTTCGGCTAGTTAGTTAGCTTCGGCAGTGGAGGAAGTGAATGAAGCCGGTCTGTGTTGATAAGGCTTCCAAATTAAATTAAATTTGTCTGACAAAGCAGCAGCTCTCATTTACAGCCGTCTCTTTCGGCTCCGTATTTTTCGCCTCTCAGTAGGGTTGTTTACAGCATCTACGATTTCCGGTTAGCTTCTTAGCTTCCTTCACAGTGACAAACACACACACACACACACACACACACACACTTCAGCAGAGGCCACGCCTCCAGCAAGAATCTCTTCTCTATAGCAGCAAGTCCAGACCCTCTGTACGAAGCAAAGTGAAGGACAAGGGTCTGGTTTTTACCAGGCTAACCAGAGTCCAGAGACTAGATCTTATCCTCCCAAGCTCCATCCCAGAGTTCAGGGTTTCCCTTCCTCCGTCACCACAGCCTTCAGATAGGGTTGGGCGATATTGGCAAAAAAATTAATCACGATTAATTGTGGTATTTAGCCGATAACGATTAATTTGGCGATTAATCCCTTGGAGTCCCTGGACACCCTTATGTCCTGGTCCCATGACCAATTTAGTGGGAAAGATTTGCTCTTCAAAAAAATCTGTTCCAAATTGTCAAAATTACAGACTTTGGGCTATACATCAAATTTTAAATTATGTTGATAGATAAATCAATTTCAGAATTTATTTTTTTATGTTCGTCATATTTGAAGCGAGAGGATCACCGACCAGACCAAATGGGGAACTCACCAGTCAGTCTGCCTGGTGGCATTAATCCTATTAATCGTCAAGTGCCAAAAAAATAATCGATTAATGTTTTTCTGACGATTAATTGCACATGATACGATTATGCCCAACCCTACCTTCAGACTGATCCTCACAGATGATACGGGGATAGGGAGTGGGAGAATCAAGCCTTTGTTGACACATCCATCCAGGGAAGTTTTGATAACTGCAGACCGACCAAGGCCAGCAGCTGCTGGGATCCGAAGGACAAACACAATTGTTTTGGGACAAGCGGCCTCGAATTTCTTGCCGCTTTACAGTCTTAACTGCATCTCTGAAATGGCGAAAATGCCGAATGTTCCGAATCTTATCACCTCCTCGCCTCTTTCCGTCTGAAACTTCACCCAGGTGTAATCCTACATCTCATGGACACACTGCCGAACTGTGATTCTCATCAGAATCACATCCAGTTTGTGACTATTTTGGCTTTTTTCTTCAGGGTATTGGTGTTTTTCCTGGTTTTACAGCTATTTTTGGTCTTTTGGATGAAATAAAAGCTGCAGACTTTTAACCCAACTAAAGAAAGATTAATAAACAATTTAACAAAGATTCTGGACAATTCTTTTATTAATTTTTTTTATGTTTATTTCTAGTACAGTTTAATTAATGTTAATGTTTTCCTGTTTGAGCCGGTCCGGGTCCTGGTTCTGGTCTTTGGGTATCATATAGACTTTATGTTTTCTTTGTGATTTTTAATTCTTGTTGTTTGGACTCCTGTTTGGAAAGTTTTTGGACCCTGTTGTCGTGCTTGTTGTTGTTTATCTTGTTGTTCAGTATTTTTACAGCAGCAGGACGGTCTTTTCAGCTTTTTTTCTTTGTTCTGTTTCTCAGATGGAGTTGACAGATCTGCACATTTACATTTAGCATGAACGGGGTTCTGGTTCTGGTTCAATACAAGTGTTGAGATTTAATCACATAGAAAACCCTCAGATGTTTTTAGAGCATGTTTCTGTTCGGATGATGAGCTCTGTAAACTCTGATCTGACAGATTGTCTTCTTTAAGGGACGTTTAGGAGACTCTGTCCTCACTTCCTGCCGGAGTAAGAGGAAGTGTCTTTGTGCTCATTTTGTGCTTCTTTGTAGTATTTTTCTGCGTACTTTGTACTTGTATATTTGGAATGTTGTATTTTAAACTCGGGGTGTCACAGTTTTTTTATTTTTGGACATTTTTTGGTCTCTTTAGTCGACTTCTGCAAACGCGTGGTCGGTTCACACTTCTTGGTTTTGGTGAAACGTGTCTGTCACAACTGCCCCAGCCCCCAACAAACACCACCCATATGTGCGTGTGCAAGTGCACAGATCTGTGTGTGTTTGTCCTTCTTGTTGATTGAATACGTTGGAAGTTCTGATAAAACATAACTGTTTGATAAAATACAGCTTTTATTTGTATTATTTTTCACTTTTATTGTTTGGCTGAAGTTGAGCAGCCGCGGCGGCCATCTTGACTCATTATGACTCCAGAAGTGAATCGGCTGCAGACCAACTGATTTCTTTCCGAGTTTCATTCCAATCTTCTGCTGCTTCAGGTCCAGACATCCTGTCCTCCTGTTGCATGCTGGGATATCCTGAGGCGATGACGGGAGTCTGAGCCGCCTGTTCGAGTCCCAACATGATGATCCTCACCTCAGATCCTCTTAATGTAGCTGCTCCTTCCTGCAGAGGACTTCTTTGTCTTCTCTTTCACAGAGTCTGCACCTCTTCATTTTGTTTCTTTAATATTTGTGCATTTTAAAGGTGAAACATCAGAGGCTCTACAGTCAGCTTCAGATTACCTGCTTGGTGTTTATGGACCCTGCAGCGACTCAAAGCTGACTTTCTGGTTTGAAAAGCCGCTGCGTTGTTCTAGTTTCAGGCAGAACTGAGCGGTAGACTTTGGTCTGTTGTTGACTCAAACAGTTTCTGGACTTTCTGCATGTCTGAGGCATGACTCACAGCTGCTGCCTTTATAGGTTAACCAGGACAACAAACACAACCAGCTGACTGAAGAGCAGTCAGTTTACTCACAGTGTGTGTGCTGCTAACTAATGATGGCAAACAGGTGCTGCGACCTCTGACCTCACAGCTGGAGCTGAATGTTCAACTGACAGCTCTGAGAGAGCTTTATCTTTTACAACCATTAGAGCTAAACTTAACAGCTACAGGGTCTACAGGTCAGCTGAAGAAAGATGGTGTGTGCTGCGTTCAGGGACATTAAATGAACTAAAGAAAGATGGTGTGTGCTGCATTCAGGGACATTAAATGAACTAAAGGAAGATGGTGTATGCTGTGTTCAGGGACACTAAATGAACTAAAGAAAGATGTCTGTGCTGTGTTCATGGACTCAAAATGAACCAAAGAAAGATGCCGTGTGCTGCATTCAGGGACTCAAGATGAACCAAAGAAAGATGATGTGTGCTGCATTCATGGACATTAGATGAACCAAAGAAATTGCTGTGTGCTGCGTTCAGGGACACTAGATGAACTAAAGGAAGATGGTGTGTGCTGCATTCTTGGACATTAGATGAACCAAAGAAATTGCTGTGTGCTGCGTTCAGGGACACTAGATGAACTAAAGAAAGATGGTGTGTGCTGCATTCATGGACATTAGATGAACCAAAGAAATTGCTGTGTACTGCGTTCAGGGACTCTAGATGAACTAAAGAAAGATGGTGTGTGCTGCATTCACGGACTCTAGATGAACCACAGAAAGATGGTGTGTGCTGCATTCAGGGACACTAGATGAACTAAAGAAAGATGGTGTGTGCTGCATTCAGGGACAGTAGATGAACCAAAGAAAGATGGTGTGTGCTGCATTCAGGGACACTCAGGTGAATTAAAGTTGCAGAATTTGCGGTCAGTTAGTTTTTAGCCTCTCTCAGCTTCTTTATTTTTGTACTCCAGATGAGCTGTTGTGTTTTTTTTTTTTTTTTGACAGTTTCTGGATGTGTCGACATTCTTAATACGTTTGAGGAACACAGAGCGGTTTTCTGTTGAGTCTAGCTGTTTTTGTTTCCTGTCAGTTTTATTGCAGCTTTTACAGAAACACTAATCATTCATCTGATAGATTTCATATTTGCCACTAAAAAAACGGACAATTTTTGTTACTTCACCAGTTACCAAGCAGGAAAATGAAGATGCAGCAGCTCCTCATTAAAGCCCATATTATCGTTATTTTTTAATGTAAATAGTCTTTAGTAAGTTTTAAAATGTGCATGTTCCTGTAAATATAGTTAACTCAGTAAAGTGGTTCTTCCTCACCTCACTGATCTGTTACCTCCTGCCTGAAGTCTTCACTCCTCCTCCTCCTCTCTCTAATACCTCCTGCCCCCACAACCATGGGCTCCATGGTGTTCTCCCACACAGCCCCTCGTCTCTGGAACTCTGTCCCACAACACATCCATGATTCTGATACTCATTTAAATCTAACATCAAAACTCACTTTTTAAACTTTATTCTGTTTAATGTCATTGATCTATTGTATCATTAATTGTGTTTGATTTGATTGATGTCTTTATTGTTTTATAGTTTATTTTTTACCGTCTGCATTTCTTGTTTGGTGACTTCAGTGACTTCAAAGGCATCTTCAGATAAAATGTATTACTATTCAGAAATACTATAAAGTGGCTGATTTCCAAAAATCAGCTTAAACATAAATACACCAAAATAAAACTTGAAATGATGAAGAGTTTTGTCTTAAAATGTTTTACAGAAACATCAGATCTCATTTTCGCCTGCTTTGTTACATTTTGTGACAAATTCTGTACTTTAACTTTCCTTTGGTTTAGTTTTTTAGTTGTATTTATCACACCGTTACCATGACAACATCGTGAAAATAAAGGTGAGTTTTGTTTGTTGTCCTCAGGCTCTGGACGTGGACAGATCCATTCTGTTGAAGATTAGGAAGTCCTTGAAGGCCATCAGCGCCTCGGGTCTGAGTGAGTTTCCTGTCGACACTCGGCACACCACTGAGCATCACTCTGTCTCACCTTTTCTGTCACTCTGTCTCACCTTTTCTGTCACTCTGTCTCACCTTTTCTGTCACTCTGTCTCACCTTTTCTGTCACTTTGTCTCACCCTTTCTGTTACTTGGTCTCACCCTTAATATCACCATGTCTCACCTTTTCTGTCACTCAGTCTCACTCATCTGTCACTCTGTCTCACCCTTAATATGACCATGTCGGTCACTCCGTCTCACCCTTTCTGTTACTCAGTCTCACCTTTTCTGTCACTCTGTCTCACCTTTTCTGTCACTCTGTCTCACCTTTTCTGTCACTCTGTCTCACCCTTTTTGTCACTCTGTCTCACCATTTTTGTCACACCATCTTTCTTTGGTGCATCTACTGTCCCTGAATGCAGCACACACCCTTTTTGTCACTCTGTCTCACCCTTTTTGTCACTCTGTCTCACCCTTTTTGTCACTCTGTCTTACCCTTTTTGTCACTCTGCTTCAGTCTTTTGGTCACTGCCCACCCTGTCATTCAATCTGCCTCACCCCTTTGTCACTTTGTCTCACCCTTCCTGTCACTCTCACCCTTTCTGTCACTTGGTATTACCCTTTCTGTCACTCGGTATCACCCTTTTTGACACTCTGCTTCACTCTTTCGGTCACTGCCTCACCCTTTTGTCACTTTGTCTCACACTTTCTGTCACTGTGTTTCACCCTTTCTGCACTCTGTCTCACCCTGGCTGTCACTCTTTCTCAGCAATGCTGTTTCTCAGCGTAGATTGTAGTCTGGTTCAAGGTGAGACTCCTCAGTGGTTTTTAAAGGTCCTGTGGTTAGAGTGCTCACAGCTAAGGGTGTGTTTGGTTTGTCAGTAGTTGTGTGGTGTGTAATGGTGGGTGGAGTCTCAACTTTAAACATTCCTGTCATACTGCTTCCTGTCTCGGCATGCAGAGGGAGAGACTCCTGCCTTTTAAAGAGACGCAGAGAGAACATAATCAGAACTCAGACCTGCAGTCTGAGGGGTCTTCAGATTGTCTCCCTTCTTAAGTGGATAAAATTAAAGAAGAAAAAGAGTTTTAGTTTCTCTCCTGGTTGAGTTTAGTTCATCTGAATGTTAATGAAATCATTGGTGGTTAAAATAAAGATCCTTTTACAATCTGATGTGATTTAATTTTTTATTCATTTATAAAGCTAAAGGTTTGATTCAGTGGTTTGAAACAAATGCAGAGGAACTAAATAATATTACATCACTCATACATTGTGACATTTAATTTTGAGTTGTAGTAATTTAATATAGTATAAAATAGGAGTTTAGGTGTGTTACCAACAGATCATTAAACAATATTTAGCATAAATTCTAATAAAATGTTTGATTTGTAATGATTGCGTTGTAGACCATGTGGAGAATGAGGAGCAGTACATTCAGGCCATGGAGAAGTTCGGACAAAACTGTGTGAACAAGGGGGACGCCGTGGTCGGCGCCGCCTTCCGTAAGTTCGCTGAGCATAACAAAGAAATGACGGCACTCTTCAAAAACCTGGTGAGGCTCTGAAACATGCAGCAGAACTAACCTGGTGAGATGTTCTTGTGCTTTAAATGGACTTCCTATGTGCAGATGCAGAACATGAACGGCATCACGTTCCCTCTGGGCAACCTGCTGAAGGGAGACCTGAAGGGAGTCAAAGGGGTTAGTCTCAGTTATTATAAACATCTGTTATTACCACCTGTTAGAAACACCTATCATAACAGCTCTTATAAACAATTGTTATTAACCCTTTTTTTATACTCTGGTTTGAGACACCAGTTATAAAAATCTTATAACCACTTGTTATAAACAATTAAAATGAACCACCTGTTACTACCAGATGTGATGAACAATGATTTTAATCAGCTGTTATAAACAGCTGTTACTACCACCTTGACATTCCTAACTGAGGTTGTTTCCTCAGAATATTAACAATAATAAACACATAGTCATGTTATTATCAGTAATAAACAGTCATGTTATTATCATCATGTTGTTATCAGTAATAAACACACTCATGTTATTGTCAGTAATAAACACAGAGTCATGTTATTAATATTAAACAGTCATGTTATCAGTAATAAACACACAGTCATGTTGTCAGTATGAAACACACACTCATGTTATGTCCTGATGCATCTCAGTAATCCAGGTAAAAAATCAAAAAGAAAAAAATTGGATAGGTCCTCTGGACGGGTTCTTCTCTAATGAAAC